GTGAGTGAGTGAGTGAGTGAGTGAGTGAGTGAGTGAGTGACGTAAAGGCTGCACAAATATTTTTCACCTTGAGCAGGCTCATATGTAAGCCACCGTCACAACCTCTTCGCGACAATGGTTTTCCTCGAATGAACTTTTGTCTTAGGCACTTTTACCAGTTTTCGCCACGGGTTGAGCTAATTAATCAGTTTGGAGGTCTGTGATCTGGGACGCCTGCGCTACTGCCTTATCAGACGCTTTGTCATGCTGGTGACAGCAAACAGGTGCACCGTTCCGACCAAAACTGCGTCAGAAGCTTCGCTTCCCGTGGCCTCTACCTACAGGGCTAGCACCGATCAATACTTCGAACAGAAACACAATACTGTCTGCCGCAGAGCACAAAAACCAGATAGCAATCTTCGCTGACGGGCGCGCAGTATGCAGCAAAATAACACCAATGCACAGAAGTCCCTCACCAGTCAAGCTAAGCTCAAACTGCCAACCGTAGAGCGGCAAAGTGGTGGGTCCAGCGGGGCGAAAAGTTCACGTTCATTCCGCACCCATAAGACCTCGAAAATCACCTGGGACCTGCAAACTCGTTGGCACAAATTGGAGGAAGAAGGTCCCAAATTTACAGTGAGCAGTCGAGATAGCAAGGTAAAGGTGACACTGCCGACTGTGTTGATGCCTCTGGGCAAGGAAGACTACGCATTTCGAAAGACAATTCGTGTGAGGCATTTCTTCCGTACGGTTTGGGACTCCACCAACACCAAGGGGCGAACGGCTCTGTATACACCTGCTCCGATCCCTGCCAAGTTGCGGCTAGCCTGCATGAAACTGGTCAGTAAGGCTGTCAAAGATCAGAGGATTCACTTTGACTCAGTGGAACTGAGTATCCTCTTCCACATGTTTTTCGAGCTTACACGCCGGCAGTTTCGAAACATGACGTTGGCCGAACTGCAACAATTTCTCTACATAAACCTAAACATAACACACACAGTCACATTGGGCCGCCTTGCTCGGGCAGCGCAGCTCCTGCAGGGTGATATTCACCCCTACGGCAACAGTGGGATTCGGCCAA